CCTTTTCGAAGAGAAGTTGTGGCTTATGTGGAGTTTACATGGGCCTCTTGATGGAAGAAAGCTAATCTGTTTAGTATTTGTGCATTTTACTAAAATGGCAGCTTAAAGTTGTGTATCTGCTATTGTGATGCCAATGCCGGTGTTTTAAGTGGAAAAAAATGACCTCTTGCTTTGTGCTGTGTACACAAGATTTCTGGAAAAGTAAAGAAAAACCCTTTTTATGGCTCACACAGCTTAAAAGTAGCTGTCACTCAAACGTGCGCTCACAGTTGAGCTGCTTTTGTTTTATTCTAAATAAATTGTTTCTTTTGAGGAAAATGTTTTTCTGCCTGGAAGTGAATTGACGGCAAACCTTTGACCCCTTTGTTTGCAGCTGAGGCGTTACTTGCTGCTGCTCAGATCTTGTATGTCCTGAGCAAGAAGCAGGGAGACCATCACTCTGACTTACCGCGGTGTGTCAATTCTGAAGGACCACTAGTGTTACTGTGCCCCCTTTGTTTGCAGCGAAGGGGACCATTTGCTTCTCGGTCCTCAGCTTGATGAGGAAATGGTGCTGTTGGCTGGCACGAAAGAAGCCGGGGCAAGCACCGTAAGCCTCACCACAGTGCACGAGTCGGGGGCTTTGCTGGTTTGAAGAGCCGGAGTTGCTGAAATTTAAGTTTTGATTTATTTTGTTCACCTGTCACGTTTGGCCTTAGTTTCATTTTTAATTTGAAGAAAAGTTTGCAATTGCTTTATCTTGCACTTAACATTTGCACCAAATTGCCAAAAGAAGGAGAATGCTCCGTTTGCTTTTTAAATGTTAATGATGATGTTAATAAAGCCTTTCCTGACACATTTGAGGAGCTCCTCCGTCTCCAGGGGCTTCTCACCAGAGGTATGCAGTGATGGGTTTAGTTCTGAATGGATGAAGAGTTCCTGAGAGCTAGCGTTTGTCATTAGAACCGTTACTTGGTATCTGGGCCTTATTTGACCTGTGGTTCCACATGCCTTGGATGTGCATGCACCGTGACGGTTTCATAGGTACGAACGCACACTCAGGCCCAGACACCTCGGTTGGTAGTACAGATTGTGAGGAAAAAATGGAGGCATCCTTAAGGAGGAAAAGTGTTTGCCTTTAGTTCCTGCACTATCCTGCACAGGGGGTCCTGAGCTTTGGAAGCTGTTCCCAGTACAGGAGAACAACTCCCCTGTTTGCAGCAGGAGACTTCGGTGCACAGTGACAACGCTGGAGTTCAAGAGGAAGCCAGCAATGCTGCACCATTGGCTTCAGACACCATTGTTGTTGCCAGTTGTAAACTTAACTAGTTGCAGACGAAGACCACCTTGACATGCAGGCTTGTTGGGCTTGTTTTGAATTTTAACCTCGGATGGAAGAGCCTAGTGCTGTCTGTCTCCATGCGGGATGATGATTACTTAGGCAACAGGTGATTACCAACAAAGGATGCCACGCTTATACTCTGCAAGGTGGTGTTCCAGTGGCAAACAGCTGTATAAGCTCTTGTAAACAGGTAAGAGGGTTTTTAGAGGTCAAAATGCATTATAATTAATAGGGATTTTAATGTTGGGGGTATGCTTCTCTGGAAATCTTCAGGCACTACCTCCTCTTCACCAAAGTACTGTATTTATAAAATTCCAGGCCAGAACTTTTGTTCTGCTATTTTCATTTTTTTAAAAAACAAAATTGTTGTGGGAGCCAAAGCATTGAATTCTTGGTTATGGATTTGGGGCCTTGATATCCGTTAAAATTTTGACATTTTCCATTAGCCATGACCTTCACCCTTAGTGGTGATTTACTGGTGCTGGAAGAATTTCCTGCTGTAAACCTCCAAGTTAACAAACTTATAGTATGTAGCAACAACAACAAAGAGATGTGTACCATCAGAATAGGAATGATAGATAATTTAGCCAAAATGGTTAGTTTTGTTTTTTTTTTCCTTGTCCTACAAAGAGATTAATTATAAAATTTGGCCACTACAACTTCAGGGCAGTGAATAGGCAATGTTGACAAGGCTATTACATCATTTTCGTGGTCCATTTAGCCTTCCCAGGCTTCTGAACCCTTGCAGCTCCTCTCCCCAACATCAATCAAGAGTGAGAGTTTGGCGACGTAACACAAGCACAATAGTTTAATGTATAATACAATTTAGGTTTTCTTGATTTATTTAAAATGGGGAAAAAATTTGAGAATTTTTAAAATGAAATTTAAGGGGAAAAGTGTTCTGTTTGTTTTTTTCAGGTTCTCAATGTGTCTTACAAGAGTTTTTAAACATCTGCTTAAGAATTGGCTGCCATCTAAAGCTTTGCTAAATGATCGCTTACCTACATGTCTAAAGGTTTTTATACCTGTTAGGAATGTCAATTTCCAGTGCATTTTCTTTCTCTGGCTAGTTCATACTGAAAGCCCATTAAGTAATTTTTCCAGTTATTAAACAAGTATTTTAAATTACTATAGCGATTTGAGGAAGATTATGTTACACTCTACATATTTCTGCATATTTGGTATCTTTCTAAGATCTCAGACTTCCTCTCAGGAATTAGAAGAAATGTTGCACCAAGGTATTTGCTTATTTGTATATGAAACTGTATGCAAAATGGAAAGGTCCACAGTATGACAGTTTTGAAATTAGTCAAGAAGTTTTATTGCCAGCTATACTGGGAAAGAAAAATTAATTCGGTCAACTGTTAGATCTAGGCTTCTGGTTTTATAAATTGGAAACCGCCCTTCTGAAATATTGGTGTGGTTTCCCAATGTCTTTCATATGATCTAAATTTAGGGTTCTACTCTAAAGGAAATAGTTCCATGAACACCTCTGAATTGATTTGTGCTCATGTTGGGAAGCCTGGCTGTGAGTGTTAAAATTGAAAATAGGGATTACCCTGACTTTGGTAAATCAACCTTGATTTTGTAAATTGCCACTTCGGTAGGTTAAGTTATATTGTTGTTTCCAAGTTGTTTAACTCAGGCAATAAATTTAGTACTTATAACCCCCTGGCAATGGGCAAGGAGACACCTGATTGGTGGTGTTGCTCTTATATCAGTCAGGGGCAAAGCAGATGTACAGTCCTTAGTTCATCCTAGCTTGATGCCTGTGTCGGTGGCCAGAGCTATTTCATGCCTGAGGCACATAAAAAAATTTTTTTAGTACTTATGACTTGTATAACATCTATTTTCTTTTTGCAATAGGATATCTGATCGTGGCTTGTCTGACCACCACCTTCATCTCCCATCTTACTCCCTTTAAGCTTCCCTGGTTAAAAGACCTTTTTACTTAGTAACTTGAATTATAACCTAGTTTTAAACTGTTAGCAGAGGAATTTATTGAATAACAAAATTCCTTCAAACCTCAGACAAGATTGTTCTTAGCAAGTAAGAAGAGATTATGACCTTGAAGTAAAGTGACATAACCATAAACAGGTAAATAGTTAAATATCAGGAGAAAAGTTCACAGTTTAAAACAACTATAGGAGAGATGTCACAATATTTCAGTTGGTTTACTAATGAATTTTCACAGGTGATAGGGGTATATGAATGAGTAGATGAAGTTTAAGGTTACTTTAAGCTAGAATGGTCATAAAAAGCCTTACAAAAGAATTTGTTAGTTGGAGAAGGATGTGGAATGGGGGAGGGAGGTTGGGATTAAGATGTCAGGCAGACAAGCATGAATCACAATCCAGCAGCCTGTTGATTGATGGAAAAGATGCAGGCTGAAGCTTGGAAAAGGAGTGAAATGGTTGGGTCATCAAAAACAGAATCCTGAGGATAAGCCAGTTTGAGGAGGGCACGGAGTGAGGATGCATAACCAGTTGAAACATGTTGATAAAAAGTAATAGTATTAATAATAGGACTCATTTATCAAATACCCCCTTCAGGCCAACATTCTGCCAAGTTCTATTACACATTGTCTCATGTCTCACCACAGACCATAATCTGATAGCTAGTAAGTGATAGAACCAGAATTCTAACCAGGCCTTTATTGTCACTGTACTGTCACAGTTCGCTCCTCTGCGGGCTGGGATGGGATTGAAGCTCTAAACTTAAGCATATGGACAATAGATTTCAAGCTACAGAGTGTGTCAACATTCATAGTTCTTGGGAAACATACAGGCCCTCGACTGCAATCCCAGACATTCTGGGATTTGTTAGGGCCAGCATGGCCCAGGAGTCTGTTCTTTCACAAGCTCCCCAGGTAAATTCTGCTGTAATCTATGGTCAGTGGCCGCATGTTGAGCAACACTGGCCCACAGAGTGGAGTGCTGAAGTATGTACATATTTAAGACATGGGAAGGGAACATGGTGCTGGGAAAGAGGCCCCGGTAGGAGAGCCAGAATAGTGTTCTGTCTCTGAAGCTGAAACGAGGCACTTCCAGATGATGAATTAAAGCTGTTGCAGAGACGAGCAGAATGAAACGACAAATGCCATGGAATTTATCACTAAGAGTGTCACTTAAATAACAGTTTTATAGTCATATAATTATTTCTCCAAGGAATTCAATCTTGCTTAGTATTTAATTTTGCCTTATAACAGTCTGAAGAAGGGCCACTGTTTAGTTTATGATATGCTAAAGGGATACCGGAAAAGTTTGTGACTTGGCTAAGGGATACAAAGCCAGGACCTGATTGAGATATCCTTGAGTTTGCAGATGTTAATCTAAAAATAACGTGACTATAGTCTAACTTAAATTAAAATTGCAGGTGATTCTAGGATTGCATGTGTATGTACACATGTAAGTTATTTTCCATGAATGAACATCACCTGTCAACTACCTTCTAACTAGGTTACCAATAGGATGGAGACAATGGAATCACAGGTAAAGTTGAGTGTATCTTTGACTTGTAAATAGTTGAAAGATTTCCTATTTTGAATTAGGCATACTGGGTTGTCTTCAATTAATGTAGCTAATTCTTCAAGTATTTATATATTTTATTGATTTTTTACAGAGAGGAAGGGAGACGGATAGAGTTAGAAACATCGATGAGAGAGAAACACCGATCAGCTACCTCCTGCATACCCCCTACCGGGGATGTGCCCGCAACCAAGGTACATGCCCTTGACCGGAATCGAACCTGGGACTTTTCAGTCTGCAGGCTGACACTATCCACTGAGCCAAACGGGTCAGGGCATAATTCTTTAAATATGTAGTTACCTATTTTATAGCAGGCGTTATTCTAGATCTTGGGGGAGTATATTGGTAAAGAAAACAGGCAAGTTTCTCTTTTCTCATTGAACTTACTTTCTGATGGAAGAAGGGAGATAGTAAACCATGTTGGAGCCTTGTTGCCAAGGACAAAAGGTTTGGATTTTAGTCTAAGGGCTGAGTGCAATGGAAAGTTATTGGAGGTTTTAGCAGGAGTGATGTGATTTGATCAAGATTTGACTACCTGTCTAGGAAAGTAACACAAATTTCCTTATATTATTCCCAAGATCGAGAATAACGCCTGACATATAATAGGTGCCCAAATATTTGAAGAATTAATTAGCTACACAAATTGAAGATAAACCAGTATAGGTAATTCAAAATAGGAACTCCTTCAAACATTTACAAGTCAAAGATAATATTTCCTTCAAAGACAAATTAGCATTTCAGATTTTCTGTAAGACTGTGTTCTTCAGAGATCCGCAGTGGCCCATATTTAAATACCATAATAGAGATTTTATTTCTTCTTCACGTTCATAATTGTTGGCCACCTCGAGGTTTCAGAGCCATCTTTCTTCTCGTACCTCATTTTCTCATCATGTTATTTCTTACTCTCTGCTTTCATCAGACTCATGACAGTTTCAGCCGTAGGCATATGTAGTCATCATTAATTTCTGCTATAACACACGGACCATGCTTTCTGTATTTCATAACTTGCCATTTCTCCAGTGGTATCAAACCAAACTTCCTTACTAAAAGTCAGTTTAGAGGGTCTTTCTGTAGAATGGCTGTCATCCTATGCAAACCAAATACATGCTCATGCAATTTTTAAGTGCTGAATTGGTATCTGACCTTTTTTCCAGATGACCAACAGATTTCCCTTTACCCAGGAAAAGGACCTCATGCATTTATGTTCAGAGTAGAACTTTGATCATGGGCAAAATTAAGACTTTGAGGTGCTATATACATACATATTTTAAGACATCTTGGGAAAATTGTCCCATAGAATTTTTATTTCAGCAAATAGAAACTGACAATAGTTTTGCTTTGCTCTCAAGATAAGCATCTAGTGCAGGGGTGGGCAAACTTTTTGACTCGAGGGCCACAATGGGTTCTTAAACTGGACCAGAGGGCCGGAACAAAAGCATGGATGGAGTGTTTGTGTGAACTAATATAAATTCAAAGTAAACATCATTACATAAAAGGGTACGGTCTTTTTTTTTTTTTTTTAGTTTTATTCATTTCAAACTGGCTGAATCCGGCCCGCGGGCCGTAGTTTGCCCACGGCTGATCTAGTGTGTGTATATTCCTTATGTACAGAAACACTTCAATAAACTCGGTACCTTAATTAGAATTTTTCTGAGTTCTATATAGCAGAGGTCTTAAACCTGGCTCCACATTAGAGTCAACTTTTTAATACCAATGGCTGGGACAGTTGCTCAGAGCTTCATAAAAAATTGATCTAGCCCTGGCTGGTGTGGCTCAGTGGATAGAGCGGCGGCTTGCGGACTGAAGGGTCCCAGGTTCGATTCCAGTCAAGGGCACATGCCTGTATTGCGGGCTCAGTCCCCAGTGGGGGGTGTGCAGGAGGCAGCCGATCAATAATTCTCTCTCCTCATTGATGTTTCTATCTCTCTCCCTCTCCCTTCCTCTCTGAAATAAATAAAATAAAATGAAAAAAAAAATTGATCTAGGTCAAGTGGGACTCTGCCAAGTTCCCAGTATGTGTTTTGTTTTCAGTGCCCCAGGTGACTTCTATGTAGCCAGGGTTGAAAACCATTGCTCCAGAAACAAATCTTAAACATACAGGTTCAGTACAGCAGGTATATTGCTGAGTCTTTTACAATCCTTGCTATTAAGAGTGTGGTCCGGCAGCATTAGCATCACTTGGAAGTTTGTTAGAAATTCAGAATTGCAGAGCCTCACCCCAAACCTGTTGAATGGACCCAGAACCCCAGGCGATTAGTATGTACTTGAAAGTTTGAGAAGCACTGCTTAAGATGTAGATACAGAAATATTCTGTGTAATAAAAATAGATGATTAGACTCATCGCTTGTGAGTAAGATTCTCAGATTTGTGCATTAGTCAGTGACATTTACTTTAAAGAATTTTAAAAAGATTTTTCAACAAGAAAAGTAGGCACAGAAGTGTTCTTGGTGAGCTTCTGGCGACCAGAGACCAGTGGTCTCTGCCACCAAGACAGGGGAGGGGTTACTATTGCCTCCTACGTGGTTCTTGATTTTTTTATGTTTATGTCTTTTTTCTTTCCTATTGTGTTCTAGACCACTCTTTTCATTATGAGATAGAACATGGTACTTTTAATAGATACAGATGAGGCTATTTGAGCCTCTGTTTGATGATAGGTGTCTCCTAATTTAGAAAATTTGGTTGAGGTATGTTTAGAGCTTTCAGTGGGGAGATGGATATGGACAGGACTAAGGAGTGGTTCCTAATGACCTTTCTGTTTTAATTTTAATATAGTAACTTCATAAGTGAACTGATTTTTCTCACATAGCAGTAAGAATCAAAAATCCAATTTAAATTCAGTTCATCTTAAAGTTCACAATAACAAATAATATAACAAATGTTAAAATTCATATATGCTAACAGGAGTGGTCCAGTATGAATGTTCAAAGAACAAATTGCAACATATCAATTCAGACACAGGAATGATATTTTTAATGTGTTCGTTTTTACGGTTAAAGATACTGAAATACATTTGCCAAGCAACCATGTCGATACCAAATGAAACACTGCAGCTAGAGTATTCTCACATCCCACAGTTTTTAAATTGATGTATGTGTTTTATAGAGATTTTTTTTGTCAAGCACAGCACTGTCAGCATCTCTAGAAACCTTTTCTAGGGTTTATTGGTGACTTGCAGATTTCTCCTGAGACCCGAGAGGTTCGTTTTTAGTGGAGACTTACCTATTTCTCCTGAGAAATCTCATTTGTGAAATTTACCCTCTGCAGTGTTATAATCTCACTGAAAATTCATTCTACAAAAGGAATGAATTCATCTGAACTTTAAAGTTTGGTGATTGAAAATACTTCTGTGATACATGAGTGGGTTTTGCTTTAATGTGTTGGTTTAAAGGTATTTTGAACCTTCAAAGACACTTTTGCTTCTGTGTGCTACTTCTTAAGTTTAGAGATATCTGAGGGTCTAATATAATTTTTTAAAATACATATGGTATTGGATCTACCTCCTCTACTTTAAGAGCATTTCTAAGTACAGTAATTGCTTAAATGTCTTTTTTTCCTCCTGGGTTTCTTTTTAGGAACTACTGAGAATCAAAAACCTATAGCCGACTTTGGGATATGGCTTTATTATTCAGCAACTAAAAGATGAGTTCTAATTGGCAGACTTCTGGCATTGGCACTTGTCCTCCTGTTTCTATAGAAACGGTTGGAAGTCAGAGCTGTACAAGGGAAAGGGTAAGTTTCTTTTAAACTCCATATTTATAAACCCATATCTTATTAACTGTGGCATGGTGTCAGTTTTCACATAAAGATATCCATCAAGGAACTAGAGCTTAAATATGAACTACTCATTTTCACTTGAGTGGAAACTGACATCAAGTCATTAAATATCAGGAGGGTTTAAATATGGATTTATTTTTCTCATGACTCTGACTTCAAGTTTCTTGAAGCAGTTAACTCAGTATAATTTGCATGTTTAGTTATTTCTAATTTAGGGGGTCATAAAATTGATTTTTATCCTTTTAGATCTAATTCTGTTGTACTTTTCAGTAAGTGAACATTGGAATATAAAAATGTACAGAGGACATTTTAAAGGTCCGCATGAATTATAAGTCTTTTCTTTGGAACAGACTTATTTTTTAATATATTTGTATTGATTTCAGAGAGTAAGGAAGAGGGAGAGAGAGAAACATCAATGATGAGAGAAAATTGATTGGCTGCCTTTTGCACGCCTCCCAGTGGGGATCGAGCCGGCAACCCGGGAATGTGCCCTTGACCGGTATCACACCTGGAACTCTCAGTCCGCAGGCTGAAGCTCTATCCACTGAGCAAACCAGCTAGGGCCAAAGTCTGATTCTTTACACTATATAACAAGTACTGTACTACTGACCAGTTTTTTAGCCTCTCTCTCTCTTATCCAAGCAGGAAGGGGTCATCTGCTGGGCATAAACATTTGTTCTCATTCAGGCAGACACCCATTATTCGTAGAATCTGAGACAGCTGCCAATTGGTGAGTCATCTTACTGCTGTGGCTTCAGAGGGCTGTGCGCATAGCTGGGGCATGTAGGCTTGAAATTGTTTAATCGAGTGTGAAAATTCTGATCTACAGGTTGGTGTATATAAATGATTTACACTAAACTGACTAGTTTTGAGATATTGGAAGATAGTATTAGCTCATGTCCTTTAAAACATACTCTCTCATTTCCTTGATCCCGACATGCTACTCTCAAGTATACTGGGATTGTTATAGACTTCTCTTTTCCCTGCTAAATGAGCATTCATGTTGGTTGACACAAACCACAGAATGGGACATTTTGGCTTTATTTCAACTCAAATAGTCAGTTATGTAAAAATAGCATAAGAAGTGAAAGTTGGAAGTTTTTCAATAGGGAAAGTGAATTCACTTTTTAAAATTTCACTTCAGAAGTTAATGCCTGAAAATAGATTCTCACCAAGAAATGTACACCTCTCTTCCTTAGCTATTGTGTATTCTATTTATTTCTCTTTGCTCACTGTGGCTTGAATGAGGCAAAAATAGAATTGAATTTGTGATTTTTGAAGGGAAGGTGATTAGAAAAAATTTAGTTTTTGTCTGGAAGGGGTTCTTTTTTTTTTTTTTTAATATATTTTATTGATTTTTTACAGAGAGGAAGGGAGAGGGATAGAGAGTTAGAAACATCAATGAGAGAAATCGATCAGCTGCCTCCTGCACACCCCCCATGGGGGATGTGCCCGCAACCAAGGTACATGCCCTTGACTGGAATCGAACCCGGGACCCTTCAGTCCGTAGGCCGACGCTCTATCCATTGAGCCAAACCGGTTCGGCTAGAAGGGGTTCTTTGATCCTTAGTGTCAGGGTGGCTAACTCATCCTGGTTTTAAAACTGGAAGTCAGAGTTCCAGGAGCTCCCTCATCATCAGCCAAACCCAGACCTTGGTCACCCGATCTTAGCTTATTCTCTGCATCCCTGAAAAGGCCTCTCTAGGTGTTATTGATCATTTTGGAGATTTCACAATATACTAGCTTCCATCAGAATGTACCAGAGATTAGGTTCTGTTTTAGAAATTATTGTCATATTTGTTTCAGTAATACTAGGTAATGCCAGCTTACCTCTCATAAAAATAAGACATACATTTAAACTGATTTATTTAAAAGTGGATTCCAAGGACTTTCATTATTTTTTTATTTGTATATGTTAAGACCATCTATATATATAAAAGACTAATATGCAAAGTGTCCCCTTGGGAGTTTGACCGGGAGTTCAATTGCTCACTATGACTTTCGCTGACCATCGGGGGTGGCGCGGAACATGGTGGTGACCAGTGGCAGGGTACTGAGGGAAGGAGGAGGTGAGAAGGCAGGGGGAGGAGGGGAGGCGGGGAACCTGATCGGCCCTGATCGCCAGCTAGGCCTAGGGACCCTACCCATGCATGAATTTCGTGTATCAGGCCTCTAGTAAGTGATAAATGTGAAGACAACTCTGGGTAGGTATTTGTGGCAAATGTAGCCAAGTGAGGCAAATAGGAGTCAGAAAGCCTCATATAAGTTAGTTCTGGCTTAAGAAATGGTTAGGGGTAGAAATATTAATCATGCTATGTTAACCACAACTGTTGTGTTCTGATTAGAGAAAGTACATTCTAACCTGGCTGAGTGTTGTACCTGCCTGGGGACTTGGGAGTTAACCTGGAATGGGTCCATCCTCCTTATCTGAGAAGTGCCTTTTATCATGGAAAGAGGTGCCTGCCCTTTGCAACCCTTGCCCACATTTCCTGTGACCGGTAACCATTATATCCATTCTTACTCCTTTTGCCTACTTCCCCATGCAATCTTTGTCCTTCTACCCGATATAAGTAGCTGGTGTATGGGGCGGAGGGTAGAGTAGATTCTTGTGGATGACCTGCTGCTCTCCGACACTGCCAGCATTATTGGGATAAATGCTGATAAATGATTCAACTCTATTTCTGCTTAATTGGCTCAAATAGTGACAGGCAGCAGGACCTATTGGTCGTCCATTTCAAAACTACTCAAGGTTTTTAAAAAATATTGAGCTTTTGGTTTTATATTGAGGTAGGAGAGAAACCACTGTCCATGTTTTGTATTGTGTCTCTCTTTAAAACAGTTAAAATACAATATTAATAGTCTGTTCTTTCTCCTATGGAAACAGCCGATTTTACCGTTATGCACATTTATTCAAATTTTTTTTAATGGTGCCATTCAGATTTAGACATTCGTTTTCTTTTCTTAAATATATTTTTATTGATTTCAGAGAGGAAGGGAGAGGGAGAGAGAGATAGAAACATTAATGATGAGAGAGAATCATTGAACGGCTGCCTCCTGCACGCCCCCAAACAGGGATCGAGCCCACAACCCAGGCATGTGCCCTTGACCGGAATCGAACCTGGGACCCTTCAGTCTGCAGGCTGACGCTCTATCCACTGAGCTAAACCGGCTAGGGCAAGGAGCTAACTTTTTGCAAACATAGCATCATATTAATATACTGTTAACGTAAAAAACCATGGAAACCTGTAAATAATTTTTGTGAGTTTATTTAAGCCAAACTGTAGACAAATGCTGGGAAGCAGAACCTCAATGAATTGAGATAATGCTCCGGAAAATGGCCAGTTACATCTGTATTTATACTTTGCAATCAAAGGGAAGGGACTTAGGTGAGTTACAAGAAATTCATTGGTGATAGACTAGAGAGGCAGGAGAGAGCAAGTAGGGAAACCCCTGGGATTGGATAAAAAGTAAAATGATAGACACATACTTAGGTGGGTGCAGGAACAATGAACATGATGATGAAGGAATTTGTGGTATCTGTCCTGGGGCCCAGCATATTAGGTTGTGCTTCTGTTGTAATGTACCCCGCGAATCACAGAAGGACGCCTCAAGAAGTCGAATTAAAGAGTCACATTTATTGCAATCTGGGACTATGAGGGGTCATTCCCAAATCTCATAGTAACAAGATGGTCAAAAAACCAGGTTTATATAGGCAAAAATTACAAAGGTATTGATTACATCCCAGGGTTTGGAATGAGGAACCTGGTTCACAAAAAAAGCAGTTTACAGAAGCAGAATTAAGCATGTTAATTACAGTTTTGGGTCTCCGGATCACTGAGTTGATAGAAACACATTATCTAGAGCCCTCGGGTCTCAAGACCACTGAGTTGTCAGGAATTCATTATCTAGAGCCATCGAGGCAATTTAGAGTAATTGTGCTGTCCTGGTCTTGAGAATACCGAGTCAACTGGAACGCATTATCTGTGTCCACTAAGACAATTTAGGATTAAAAAAAAAAAAAAAAAAAAAAAGACAATTTAGGATAATAGTGCTGTCCTGTTTCCCAGGTACAGAAGAATGTGCTTTCTAAAACCAGTAAGATAACAATCAATGGGATAGTCATTCAGTCGAATGGGATGATGTATACTATTCAGAAAATCAAAATAACTTTTCTATTGTTAAGCCAAACAGCAGGGTTAGAGTTAAACTACAGTTTCTACCTGAGATGGTTGCTACCATACTTCACTTCAAGGGGTCCAGAAAAAGGGAAGTTACAAGTTACCTAGACATTTCAAAGGGTATGTTATTATAGATGCAAAAAGACAGATCGGCTCAGTTAAGGTAAAGGTTGACCTTGTCAGTGAAGATACCGGCCTAGGATGTAACTACCCACCATAACTGCTTTTAGTTAAAGTTTAATTTCAGACCATCCTCTGTGGTTACTTTAGGTCTCTGAGTTTGCAAGACCGCCACGCAGGCCTTCCCTGAGTTTATTAGGTTAGCATGTGGCCCCTTTCATCCACAATGCCTAGATTATTTGAAAAGATCACAAAATTACCACTAGTCCACGTAAGTATAATTGTTGCTTTTGTTGAATTTTAAACTAGAGAATCATTAAAGAACAGAAACCAAGGGCCATGATCTAACGAGCACTGGTAATCACGTTTCAGAATTGGCTCTGTCCAGGACTTTAGGCAAATGACTTGGTTTTCATTTGTTTTTGTTCCTTATTTATAACATAGAAATAACGATACATTTCCAGCTTCCTCACAGGATTGACATGATGATGAGGTGATAGGTGGGAAAGAACTTAAATTTAAAAGTACTGTAAAGTATAGGTTAGTATTAGAAATAGTATTTAATGACCTACCAGTATATAGAAAATTCTTTAACAGTGATGGTATGGCATTGAGCCAATTAAGCAGAGACTGGGTTGAATCATATATGAGCGTTTACTGCCGGCAGTATGGGAGAACAAGTAGGTCATCAACAAAAATCTGCTCTGCAAGCCCCATAAACCAGCTGCTTATATAGGGCAGGACTAGGATTACATGGGAAAGTAGGGGCCACAGGCATGGGGAAGTAGGAGGCTAGGGTGGGACTCCATTGTTTGGGCAACAAGGTTATTAATCTTCCCACGACAATAGGCCGTTCCCAATGAGAATGGTTCCAAGGTTGACTCCCAGGCCCTGGGGGCATACAACTCCCAGCCAGGTCAGAATGCCCTTTCTTTAACCAACACAAGGCAATCATGGTTAACAGAGTAAGGTTAATATTTCCCATAACCATAGCTAGTCCCCAGTATTCTATTTTTGCCCCTAACAATTTGAGTTAGACAAATTTATTAAAAGATAACTGCTTTCGATTAAATTAGCTTCATAAACTCACGGTAATGCCCAGAAGCCAGGGTGATCTAGAGAGGAAAGAAAGTGAAACCGGACAAGAAATGGGTCCGGGCTGCCTGTCTCTACTTGAGCCAGTTAAGCAGAGCAGCGTTGAATCATATATGAGTGTTTATTCCAATACTGCTGGCAGCATGGGAGAGCAGCAGGTCATGCATGAAAATCTGCTCTTCCCTCCTCCCCTCCCCCCCCCCCCCCATGAACCAGCTGCTTATATTGGGTAGAAGGACAAAGATTCCATGGCAAAGTAGGTAAGAGGAATAAGAATGTATGCAAAAGGAATACATGGGTATTACAGGCATGGGGAAGTAGGCAAAAAGGAATCAGAATGGGTAAAATGGTTACCGATTACAGGCAATGCTGGAGGTTGCAAAGGCCATTGTTTCAGCAACAAGATTGTTAACCTTTCCATGAGGCCAGGAAGTTCTTGGATAAGGATAAGGAGAATGGACCGCATTGAAAGGTTAACTCCCAGGGCCCAGGGCATACAACTCCCAGCCAGATTAGAATGTGCTTTCTTTAATCAGAACAGAACGATCACAATTAAGGGAGCGTGATTAATATTTCTTATAACTATACCTAGCCCCCACTATTCTGTTTCTGCCCCTAACAAAAGCATTGGGTTTTGTGTCCGTGTGTTTGAATTGTGACTCCACCACTTACTGGGTGTGTACTTTCTTGATCCACTTATTCATTTGTAAAATGGGCATTTTAGTACCTGCTGAAGATTAAAAGTAAGACAATATATATAATGTACCTATCTCAGTGACTAGTATGTATTAGATGTTGAAATAAAGTTATTCACCAGTCTACCACTCCAAACACACTGGCATAACCAAAGTCTAATATTTGTTTTCCTTTTTGTCCCCTAGGGATCTCTTGAGGGACAAGACTGGAAATCAATATACTATTTTGCTTTTCTTGAAACCCTATACAGATTTGTGGTAGCATTTCCAGATTATGGATTCTTAGAAGTGTGTCAACATCTTACACTATTGTCCAAGAAAAGTAGTAAATGAACAGGAACATCATGAGTTAACTACAATGAATAATTAGTCTACATATTATTCAGATTTTTCTTAGTCCACACCACCCAGGTTTAGGGGGTCTGTTCCCTTTGAGCAGGATGAAAAACGGCTCTGTTGCATAAGATTCATAAATCAGAATTCAGCTAGGAGTCCTTTAGTTGATCCTGCTTAAAATGTGCAGTCTGCTGTCATAGGAGGAAAGCAGAGTTACCCTGGGTAAAGGCTCTTTTGAAAACAATTATTGCTTAAAAGGGAAAGGGGCACGGAGGAAAGTGGTTTTTAGTAATTTATTGATTTCTTTTATCTTTTGATAATATAAAGGAAATTAGAAGCTACTGTATATGTGGGGTTTTTTGGCTTGGTACAAGTATATGTTCCCTTAATCCGCACAATATATACCTGTAGGTTGGTGACATCCTGGTTCACAGAGGAGGAAATTGGGACTTAGAGAGGTGGAGAAAACTTATCAGGTCACCTGGTAACAAGTGGCAGAGCTGAGATTTAATATTAACTATATTTGCTGTTTGTGTATGTGAGAGGAGTGGAGTTTCTGGTTGTTTTTTAAAGAATATATATCAAATGAAAAAAAGTTAGATATTTACATTTAAAGGTAAACCCTATGCATTTTAAATAGGGCCAACTACTATTTTTAAGATAACTGAGATTTGAACCCAGATTAATTTGGTCCAAAGTTTATGCTGGGCCTTGGGGAATGCAAAGATGAATAAAACATTATCCACCTGGTTGATCTTTCAGACCGATGGAGATGGTTGACATGTAAGCTCACATAGAACTCTGTTAAAATTTAGATGGCGTTCCAGGTGAGAGAATGCTTTAATGCCAAGGAAGTTTTTCAGAGGAGGTGGCCTTTGAGTGAATCAGATTGGGAAGGATACATGAGCCTGTAGGATTGGAGCTGGTAGCAAACCTTACACAAAGGTGTCCACTGGGAGTGAGAGAAGGTGTGACACTTTGGAGCTAAAACCAGGCTTTCAGTTTAGGATTTTTCTCTGTAGGGAATCAGTAGCTATTTTAAAGCAAAAAAGAACGGAAAGATGTAATAATAATAACAATGACAACAGTAATAGTTTAAAGGAGCATTCTGAAGGAGATGTTAAAGGAGATTGGTGTTACTGAGAACTCTAGGTGTTTTTTTCCTTCTTAAAATCACCAAGTAAAGAAGGGCTCTCATTGACAGGTAATTTCTTAGTCTTAGTAGCTATTGACATGTAATTTCTTAGTCTAAGTGGCATTGTTAATTAGTTAACATAATTTTCCATATGTAAGAAGAATCTTTTAGTTTAAGGATATCTCCCATTAAATGCCACCTATTCAACTTTCATATAAAACTTGTAGGTGTAAAGAAACATCTAGATAATTAGCTTGAATATTTCAGGTAATTAGATGTAGGGAAAAAATAGTATTGTTTGGATGGGCAGGAATACTATTCAAATGATCTTGAAATAAAGGGTATTTTTTTAACATTTTTTAATTACATAGCAATACATGTTTATCAAAGAAAATTTAAGAAACAAAATAATGCAAAGAAAACAAAAAATACCTCTAATCAATAAGCAAAGATAAACTTTTGGGGCGTATATAATATTACAATCACTAAATAAAGTTTTAATATTCAGATTCCAGAGTTCTAGTCAACCAGTGGATATATTTAATACCTTAAATTAAGGAAAATGGTTTTCTGCCTTCACTTATTTTATTGACTGAATTACCATGCACAATTGAGAGTTTGGTTATTATTACAGTTACATTCTGATTTTCATTTAATAACTAAGGTGGTTGCTTAGACTGATTAAAATGATAACCTATTAAGTACTAACAAATGGCATGCTTTCAGTTGCTACTACCCCTCTCTTACCACCAATTCATTCTTAGGAATGGCAAAGGAAAAGGGAACCTTAAAAACTATTTGTTTTGCCTTCTTATTTTACAAATGAGGAAACTGTTCTTCTGAAATTTTGGGTCCGGTAATGTATTCCTGTAAGTTTTCTTTTGTTTCTAATGCGTTTCTTTTGTTAAGCTTGCACTTGATTGCAGTCCTCTCTCCTTCCGGTCAGACTCTGCTTTTCCATCTCTCAGCCAGTGGCACAAAGAAAAGGGAAAGTGAAGAGAGGAGGAAGCAGGTGCCAGAGAAGTAGAAGGAGCCTGCGTATGTCTGGGTGTAGTCATAGAACCAGCCTGGAAGGAAGGAATGGTTTCTGTTAGCTAAGCAAACCTTCCCGTTAGTCATTCTCAGCCATGAACTTTTCTAGAAGAAAAGAACCTCATGTACTTAACCAGTCTGCATTGTGACCTATGGGAAAGTGAGTCCAGCTCCGTACCTGTCTTATTTCTAGTGATGGAGTTACTTGCATCAGTTTCACTTGATTTAGGGACTCAACCCATGGAGACAGTCACTGCGGACCCAGACCTCATCTCCGATCTTAGAAGTTGGAGAAAATTAGGAACACCTACCATTTCATTGTCTGATGAATCTTATTAGAAGGCACCATTCTTACAAAGAAAACAATTGTAAATTCCTAATGTTTTCCAAAGGAAAAAAGTAAGAGAACTGATCCTCGCCCCCTCCCACACCCCCCAAACAAATGTTTGAGTATTTACTGTTCCCAGCAGTGTGCTAGGGGTTGAGGATACAATAATGACCCAAAAGAGACTTGGTCCTGGCCCTCACAGACTGTACAGTTTAGTGGGGGGTTAGGTGTTAACCACATAAATTGCAAGTGATAAGGGCTATGAAGGGAAGGTTCAGGACACCCTGAGAGCATATGAAAAGGAACTGACTATTTGGTCAAGTGAGTTAAATGATGGCTGAAATTCTCCCTGACATGCTCTTTCAAAGCATGAATGGGGAGGGGTTCTCGAAATCCTTAGGCTAATGACACGTCCTAGAACTTAAGTGAAACCCCTTAAAAAAACAAAAAACAGTTTTGACCTCACAGACTTCCTAAAAAGGTCTCAGGACCTCTGGGGAGTCCACTGACCACACTTGACAGCCCCTTTTCTAGAGATTGTATGCATTTTATGTTTTTAAATGCACACTTACATTGTGGCTTTTATATTTAAAATCCAAAAGAACTTAGAGAGTTAAAGCTGTTATTCTGATTATCTATTTAAAAAATGTTGGTGCTGTACGCTGGCACAGTTCTGGGTACTGGGGATATACCCATGAACAGAATAGATGGAAGGCTGCCCTCATGGGATGTACGTTGTGTCTTTTGATTTTTGTTTATATCTTGGAACATGATTTCTCACTGGAAGTGTAGAGTATACCCTGCCCTCTTTGTTCTCTTATTTGGCTCTGAAATAGACTTTAAAAATGTTTTTAGTTATTTTTCATTCGTGTTATGTTTCTTGTTTGTAATGTAATGAATGGATGGAATGTTTTATCACCTCTTAAATTCAGCTGACTTTAAGTTGCTTTTTACCTATTGACTCCTTGTTTGATCAGTGACCACAAATGCTTTTTGGAGTTAAGCAAGAGTGGGTGAAGCCTACTAGGACCAGTCCTTGCTGATTGTGATTGACCTTTATATACCTGAAAAATAGGTGACCAATCTCTCAACTTCTAGAAATTTCTAGGAAGGAGGGAGTGTGAAAAGCAACCACACTCCCTTTTATCCCTTGTCATTGTTGCCTTAGTCCCACCAGTACAGCAAATTTACCAACATATATATATATATATATACATATATATATATATATATATCTCCTGTGAATTATGAGACAGCAGTATTAGAAATAATACTATGGGAAAGACTAGAAATTCTTGGGTATGGAGATAAACAGTGTTGCTAAAGGTCAGGAGAGCACAGCAAAAAGTAGTGAAAATGAGTTGTTTTTTAAGAAATCCCAGAGGGCCTAAAACATTTTCAGAGAAAATGCTTATAAGCCTTTAATTTCACCCACAGACACACATTGAAAGTCAGAATGTTGCTTTAGAAACATTAAAGATTAATGAAATAATTTGTCTTAAATCTGTTTTTTCTCTTTATACTTGATAATTGAGATGTTAGTATATATGTTTTTTTATTTTATCTCTATGACCCAATTGCCATTCAGTAGGATTATAATGTGCAGTGAGTATTTACTTTTAGGAGTCTATTTATAATAGCAAATATGAGGTGAAATGTAGGATGCATTATTGATTAATTATCTATGAAAGTATTAGTTGTCATAATCAGCTTAGCTTAAGTGGCTGCTAGGTAAGTTAAATTCAGAACTTGGTTTTTTTCTCCCCCCGCCCCCACTCTATTTGGTTGGAATGATTAGCCTTTTCCCACCACTGAAAAATAAAAACGCTATATAATTGGTCAGATTTTATCAGATCTCTGTACTTAAAGAATAGTATGAAAAAGCTGTATAACAGTGCACTTTTAACCCTACCACTTTAATACTTCTAAGTATATATTTTTAAAAGAAATTATTGTTGGTAGTTCAAAAGCCACTCTGTTTTAAATGGAAACACACACATAGTTGACATTCAAAAGTCTGGGTTCATTTGTGGCTGGAGCAGAGAAAGTCGTGATTAGCTACCATCCACAATTCAGGAAAGTGTGTATGTCTGTGTGTCCACTCCATGTGTGTAGCCACCCCTGAGGTACGCCAGCAACTTCCCAAGCTGCAGTCCCCTGTGAGCACATCCTCAGTGTCTCCAGACGCCTGAGATGCATGTTAGTCGCTCATTGGTTCCCCGCAAGGGTACTTCATCCTGGTTGGTGCCCAGTTGATTCTTAGGCACAAAAACTTGTTCTCCAGATCACTTCATCTATAGCTCAATAACCCATGTTTTGGGCAGGAATGTCTAATAATGTTTCCTATGATCATTTAAAACAACTAAGAAGATAGGGCTCAGCTTCCTTCGTTAGCTTTGTAAACCAGTTTCTTACAGTGAACACAAAAGGGATTAGAATAATAGGTCAAGTTTGATTTGTAATCTAGGATTTTAAATTCATTTAATAAAATGTCAGCATTTTAAAACTATTTAACATAATGTTATGGGTTAAGCCATACATGTTTAAAGATGAGTTTAACAACCTGTATTAAAAGTATTCAGACCTTAATATCTTAGAACTTGATTGAGCTCAGTTATGACTCTTTTTTTATTAGGATTAGTACTATTAGGTTTACTGTTGGTCACCTTGTGAAAACTTGAAATATACCCAGAAAGTCCTTAATTCCAAAGTTCCTTGATGCTAGTTCAAGTTAGTGGCTGAGAATTCTGTAAGAGACTAGTGGTGTTGAACCAGAACTTGCAGCTGATGGGCTGCAGCACAGGGGCCAGCTTCCAAGGGTCCAAGACAGGGATCTCATCCCCAGGCCACCCGAGCTGCTGGCTGGCGGTTAGCAGCCTTGTTGTTTTACTCTGGGTATATACTGTATTTTCTGTCAGTGCCATGATGGGAAAATACATAGATATTTTCAGTAATCTTGGGAAATGTGGTTTAGCAAATTTCAACCTCAGTGTCTTTTAAGACCAGAATTCTCCAAACGCCTTATGATGGAAACTTGCAGTAAGATTTATTGGGTGAGCTTTGGGCATTGGCTCTGTGCTGTGGGTTTTACTAAAATGATTGTGGTCTGTGTTAGGATTTTGAAGCTTAAATCCTTGGCCTTGAAAAGGAATATGTTTGCAAGGGAAAGACTAACCCCCCTCCTCTTTTTAAACCACACTAAAGAGCTATTTGGATTTTTTTTTTTTAATATTTTTGTAGGGAGTCATCAATCCTGGAAATACTGAATCAAAATAAAATTGCATGGGCATTGTTTGTGGGGGAATCACTGGATAGAGATAATTTACATGGTTTTCCTTTGCCTCTTGAGGTTATAATACATCCCTCAGGGTTTAGAGGACAGAGAACCTTGCTCTGCTCTCTCACTTGCCCCCACTTCCTCCCACTCTCCAGGGACTTATAGCAGACCAAAAGGTTGAGTTGTTTTGTTTGTTTGTTTTTCAAATACAGTTTCAGGCCATGGAGAAATTCCCAACCGATAGGCCAAGATGACTGATGAATGTGGAGCATGTGCTTGATAACAGGTGGAGTGAGGACTGGGCGTAATATTTGTTTAATATTGTATCCGAAGTGAGGAAGGAAGAGACATAATTAGAACATGACCTATTATTTCCTGAGGAGGTGAACTTATCTGTGTTAGTGGGACAGAGGCAAACTTGGATGAATTTTCATCTAGCCACTATCTTTTCTTATAAAACACAGATGAAGAGTTAGTGCAGTTTCACTCCATGGTATTTTTGATGAGCTGTGAAGTAAGCAAATAATAGTACGAGAGAGAGGTATTTCTTTTTTCTGTCTTTTTTCCACTTTTAATTTCTTTATTGATTAAGGTATTACATATGTGTCCTTAACCCCCCATAACCCCCCCCACTCATGCCCTCACCCCCCTGTTGCCTGTGTCCATTGGTTAGGTTTATATGCGGAGAGATGTATTTCTCCTTTAGGAACTAGTCAACTTGAACTTGTGCTGGCGTACAATCGACTTATAATTATTTGGTCTTAGAAATAGCTTTCCTCGAGTTTGTTGATAAAAACAACAAACACTTTTGTGAAGTACCCTCTGGATGAGTGAAGCTCTAGTATAATTTACGGCCATTCTTTTTATACCGCAGCTTAGAAAGTCTTCATTTAAAGGTAAGAAAATGGAGACATGGCTTACCTAAATTGTCTGTTAATGAAGTGGAAGAAGAATGCACGTTCTATTAATTGTCAGTGTTAGAGGTTCCAGGTTGCTGGTTTTAGTATTGAGTCCTGTCCGTGTATGAGCCATTACTCAGCGAGCGATGGAGGAGCATTAAGAAAAGATTGTCTTCTCTGTGTCCCACGGAACAACTAGCAGAGAGCTGTGCTAATAAGGGGCCTGGTAATTGTTGAATGAATACTGAGCTATCAAATAATTGTTTCTGGTATTTTAAAGAAGTTTTCAGAAGATAATTGGGATTGATATAAATATATATTAGCATAGTATGTACACTCATCAGTTGGGAATGGGAGAGAGGGCGGGTATATGGAAGAGAGGGAAACTGTATTCAGTTCTGTTTTATAGTCAGCCAATATGGGCCCTTGGTTTTATTTTTACGTGAAACTGAGCCTTTAACGTTTTGAGCTCACACATCAAATGCCTTTGGATAGAAGATTAGGAATTTCACATAAGCAGCTTACATTTAACTAGTATGTTGGAGAATATGATTATATACTTGCTTTTTTTTTTGCCCAAGGCACTATTTTTGTATTTATATTGCTGTCTGAAGGTCTACTTTTGTTAACAGGGTCTACTAGAAATATAATGTTTTAAAATAGCAGTGCTTTTCATTTTCCCACAACTTCCCAAGCTTCCATCTTGGTGCCAGCATGTAGATCTGGAGGCCAGCAGCCAGCAAAAACAGCAGTTGGGTTTGGATAAGTGATGACATTTGACCTATATTAGTTCTGCTGATCACCCTAGGTCAGAACACCCCCTAGAGCTGGCCTAGTCGGGAACAGGCCACATTATTAACTATGAATTTGTCACTGAGTATTGTAAAGGAACAGGAGGGGCGGGCTGTATGGGTGCAGTGGGCAGTGGGGTGGCTTGTGGAGGAGGTGTGTTAGGGAGTAATTTTAAACTTCTATCCTTTTCAGTCCCTATCAGTGAGTTTCAGCAAAGATTTGATAAAGAATTTTGTTGCTACTATATTATCATAATCATGATTTTAAAGGTGTATAAATAAATTTTTTTTTTTTTTTTTTTTTTTGCCAAATGCTCTATTTACATTTTTAAAAGAAAAAAGTGTGTTTTTGTTATGTAAGTTTGATTACATAACAAACTCAGGTACGATTCTTATGGGTTTTCTATGCCCCCCCCCTTTCTGTGTTTTATGAAAATATGCTGTATTTGACTAACTTGCTTTTCTTTTTCATTTCCACACAGGAAAGAGAAAAATATTGTTCAGATAACTGATGTAACCATTATTAACTAGCGTTTGACTGAGGATTACTGTGGAAAGTTTTACTGTTTGCTAGATTTCTAATTTAAAATGCCAGTAATCTTTTATAGGAATTTCAACTTCTGCGATTTGGTAATAACAGATATAACAGGTAAGTAAAAAGAATGAGAATCTCGTACAATTTGAAGATCTAAGCTTGGTTGAGAATTTAATATTTTGTAACCAGAAAGCCTGTTGATTTATTTAAAGCTAAAGACAGTAATGGAACTGCCCAGTCCTGTTGAGAACTGAGTGAATCTTTAAGGCAGCATTTCTGATGTTTCTTTGGTAGTTGCTGTTGGAGTCAGAATTTAGGAACAAAGCTAATGGCCTTTGTCAAGTCCTCTGTCATCTCACAGACAAAGACTGGCTGAAGTTTCTCCCTCCCACTGAGTGGGCAGTGCTGCATGCGGTCAGTGAGAGTCAGACCAAAAAATCTATACCTAGGCTTTCAGCAGCAGCCTTAACACTTTCTTCGACTTTTTCCCCCCCAGAACTCATAAAATTTATAGGTGCCTAAATAACACGCTCAGAATTAGCAGGTAGAAATTGTATCATGAGTTTCCTTTCCGCTGACATATAGAGCTGGGGCATTGTGGACTTTGGGTAATAAAAGACTCGTAAATTTTTTTTTTTTTATTCACTGATAGTAAGAAATGTACTTTACATCACATATACTTAAAATACATAGGTATGTGTGTGTAAAATAAAAGTTTCACAATAAAGGGATGCCCTGTTTTCTAATCTGCTCTGTTGTAGTCTATTCTTTTTCATTCAAAGTAAATGAAAAGATCACGACCCAAGAAATTGATTTCAAGACACACACACACATCTGCAGCTTTTCCTTTTCAGGTAGTGGTCCTCACAAACATGCCTCGTCTCTCATATACGAACCTCTTTGAATATTTTAAGATGTGTACAAAAGCTGGAATGTAAAATCTCTAAACACGTTGTAGTTCAGTTCCTTGCCTTTCTCAGTTGCATGAGATGCGCTGTGCTCTGGAACTGGTTACCGTCCTATGCCTTTGGCCTGACAGGCTGAGAGTTCCAGGCATCATTGGACCCAGTGAAGAGGGGTCAAGATGGAAAGAAATGCAATGAGCAAACTGTACTTGGGCTCTGTTTTCCGTACCTCACTGCCCTGGGCCTGGCCATAAAGTGGTTCTGCCAGGTGTCTCTGGTGTTTGGTTTTCTCTTACTAGTCCCTATAGAACAATTCTGGCTTGACTCTTAAATCCCAGCCTGCTCTCCAGGGATGAAGTATAGACTGAGTTGGACAACACGGGAAGATGTGTGTCCATACGTGCAAATAAGGGTTTGGTTGTATATTTGTACCAATTTTAAGAATGATAGTGGGCAAGCTCAGACCCTTTTTCTGCCTCACTTTAGGACTGAAGGAGGCAAACGTAAGTTTTAAGTTGAATCACTTTTTGTGGGTGTTTGGAAATGCTGTAGTAATTTCTCCATTCCAATATATTGAGAACTATAGTTTGGAAAATACTGAAGTCTGTTCCCTATAAGTAGTTAGTCTTTTAATAGTCTTGGATTAAATGTCCAGTTAGGTAGAAAGTGAGTAAAACAACAACACACTTCAGTCTTAAAGCTAACTTACATGATCAGAACTCCCCAAATTGTACTCTACTTGTATTTACTGTTCACCAGCGGTCCCACACAGCCTCTCCACAGAGATTCTGGTCTTTAGGCCCAATATCCTCCCACCTTTGGTACAGGCACAAAGTGAAGGGCCTCCATCCCCCTTTGACCTCAGAGATGCTGAGCCCTAGCTAGTTTGGCTCAGTGGATAGAGCGTCGGCCTGGAGACTGAAGGGTCTTGGGTTTGATTCTGGTCAAGGGCACATGCCCGGGGGGTGTGCAGTAGGCAGCCAATCAGTGATTCTCTCTCATTGATGTTTCTATCTCCCTCTCCCTTCCTTTCTGAAATATATTTTAAAAAAATAAGAGATGTTGAGAAGAGCAGAAGGGTCAGGCTTGCAGTGTCAAGCTCTATAAAAGTGACTCCTGTTCAGGTAAAAATGGTAGTGGTTCTTTTTCTTTTAAGCATCCTAGGTCTTTGAAAATTCGATAAAACTGTATTGTCTTCCCAGACAAGTAGACATACATACAATCTCTGCTCTAAGACTCCCAAGAGGCTGTAAGAACTTCTTAATGCACTCTGTTAAATTAACCCTCAGATTCTCCTGGACTGGCGATGGCTTGTGAGGGTTCGTACGGGAACAGCACAGATATCATCAGTTTCTTTTAACCTGATGTTGTCATTACATGTTCCTGTTAATCACGGGTCGGCATTTTCTTTCATTTGCTCAGAACATGGCTAAACTGTTACCTGCTATCGGTGGTCCAGAAAGGACAGCTATCCCAGCGAAGAAACTGGAAAGTCCCATAAACCTGTGTACTGCAGAATTCCCAGCCAGGTCAACCTGTAGGGATTAGAATTCACTGTCAGCCAGATAGAGGGTGAGATTCTGTGGAGACCTGTGCCTACGAGGGGACAAATATGTTTGTCATCTCAAACTGAACCGTTGACTGCTGGGGTGATTTGGGTGGCCTTGTGCTCTGAATTGTGAAAGAGCTGAGGCAAATAGGGACCAGCAGTTTCGCGAGGCAGGCAGTGTTTCCCCTTTATGAGTAAGGAACATTGGTTTTTGTTTCTTAGGTCTTTTTGGTGGTTCAGGGGTATGTTTTTCCCTGAACCTCGCTGCTCTTCTCTGTTAGGAAATAATATTTACAATCTAGCTGACAGTGGGATTCTTGAATCCACCTGAGTTGAGTACCAACCATTGGTTTGTAAGCAATCAGACATTATGAGGAGTTGACTCAGCTTTAGAAAATTTGGCTTTTGCCTAAGCCTCGTGTATTTCCAGCAGCATTTAGGCTAACATGGCCGTGAGCCAGAACTCGCCCAGGGATGGTGTTCCGGCACATGGGGACTTGGTGCTAAGGAGAACCCAGAAGTTTGTATGTCAGTTCCACTTGGGCCCAGGACTTGAAGTCAATTGGGGGTAAAAATGGAGAAGAGTTTTTTTAAGTGCCCCTGTTGAAATACAGAGCTTCTCTCAACAAGAGCGAAGCCACACTGGGCAGGAAGGCCTTTTTCTCTCAGGAACTCTTCAGGGTTGTGTTTTAGAGGGAGCCAAAGAAGTTTCCAGAACTGAAGGGGAGAAGTGAACAGAAACCTGATCTGGGAAACTGATCAGCAAAATGGAATCCTGCTGGTCCCTTATTATTGGTTTCCATTTCTTTCCTGTTCCATGTGGACAGTCCTCCCATCATTCCAACCCCCGAGGTAAGATGAGTAACGGGATTAGGACATAGCTACAGGGTTTCTGCGGCCTTGGCTGTGATGTTTTGTAATCATAAAATTAATACAAAATATGTGTTCTCTTTGGGCAACATTATTATTCATCCTTGCTTTTACTCAATGGTTTAACAATGTTAATGAGTGTGTCTACTCACCATAACAGGAAGTATCAATGCCAGGTAACCACCAGAGAAAATGGCAAAGACGACGGTATAGGTCATCAGTAGTGGGAAGGTGGTGGCTAACGGAGCAAGCAGGTTAGTGATGCCGCAGAGTGCGAGGTAAGACTTGTGGTAATGGTACTTGCTGGTCCAGTTTTGATCGGCAATCCATCCAGAGAGAATCTGGCTGGCTGCCTCAGTGATACCTAGAAGAAGTTTGAAAGGTCTTATGAAATCCTAATTCCATTTTTCCCAGCCCTTTTGAAGAATGTAAATGCCTAAGGCATCTTTTCCGAAGTAATAAGACTTCATCCTTAGGCTAGGACACACGAGAAAAAAAACGGTTTCATTTGCCTATCAGTAGATGATATCATTTACTTACTAGTAAGTACTCCAGACACATCTAATAAATTACCAGAAAGTTCATACCACTGAGCTGGGAGTCCCTGGTTACAGAGGACCCCGGGCTCAGGGAGCCTTCCTCAAAAAGGAAGTGTGAGTTTGTAAAGACTAGTGGGCCTCCGGTTTGTGTCCAGGAAAGTCAGAGGGTGGGTGATGAGTATAAATAATAAAGCCTTATGTTTACAAAAAGAAAAAGGAGGTGTTGGGACTCTTTTATAATTACATATGAGGATTTGAAAATTAAGTCCTTCTCCAGAGGTGGTTATGCTTAACTTGAAAATTTGTAGGAAGTCTGGAAATGGGAGATATTTTGAACATGACCTATGATGTAACTTGAACAAAATGTAAGAACCACAATTTCGCTTAATTTCATAACAGAAATTCTTAACCTTTATCCTGTTAGAAGCTAATGTAGTGGTTAAATACCGAGAGATTTTCCCCAACAGTAGCATGAGCTGTGGTGGTTTTATGCTTCAAATCCTTCTTACAGTTCAAACATAAATTGCTCCACACACACACATTAAAAAGAAATAAAAATACAGAATACTACCATTTCTGTATTTTTACAGTTATTTCCTAGGACACATACTGAGTTTGTTATGTTCTTTTGTTCCATTATATAGCCCTAATCTCATCTACATTGATACTACTAGACACTTCAGTGAGAACGTCTGTTGAGCTATGTATCTTTTGTGTGTGTGTGTACATATATTTTATTTGAGAGTACCTTTGCAGTTGGAGGCGGAGTGCAGTCAGTTTTGTAAGGCGTGGTAAATAGTCTTGCAGAGGAAAGTCGCTGTGAGCTACCGAGACTTCCCAGATAACTGGAGATAACCAGTTCCATTTCGTCCCTTCTCAGTTTTTAAAAATTATCAGTCAATCCATTAGTGACTAGCCTCAACAGGCATATATATGTCTTACTATGAGTCCAAGTGGAAAATGCTTAGCTACAAATATTAGTAGAACATGATTGCATGCTTACAATGGGCCAGGCACAATCCTAAACCTCTCATACATGACTTGTTCAATCCTCATAACCTTATCAGGGTAGGTAGGTACTATTATCCCTATATTACAGATGAGGACATTGAGGCACAGAGAAAGCACATAACCTGCCCAAGGTCATACAGCCGGGGAAGTCTAGCTCCAGAATGAAACCTTTCAACCAGTGCACGATGCTGTCTGCCTGGAATTTCTTTTGCTCCTCAAGTGGTGGTTGCCACTAAGCACCAGCTTTTAAAAATACTGTTTTTTCCAACAAATACCTAATGTCTACTGTGTCAGACACCTATGAAAAACTAACAAGACTTTCTGTTTGCTTGTTGGAGTGTGAGGTTGCAGTAGGGTTTCTCACCAGCTACAGAAACGAGGTAGGAGGCATCCATCATGTCGATCCCCAGTGTTTTGGCTCTGGCTACCAGGTGGAAGGTAGGGATCAAATACGCCAGCTGACTGAAGAGAAGAGACCAGGTAAATATGCAGAAGAAAGGGTTCTTTAAAAGAGAAATATCACAGAGGTTTTGTTTACAGCTCCACAAAGTAGCCTTTTGCTGGAAACGTGCATCTTTAGGTGTTAGGAACAGCCCGCTCCTGCTTGGCCCATCGTTGACCTCTTCGTTTTGCTGTTGCGAGTCTATGAAACCTGTCCCGGCTTGTCCCGCCTCCTGCATAGTCCGGTCCCTGATGGGGAACTCCGGCGTCTCGCTGCAGTGTGACGCGTCCGTCCCGCACCCTGCCTCCGGACCGCTTGCAGGCAGGCTGCCCCCTTCATCTTTCCCATCAGAGTTGCGCCCGCTTGTGAGGTGGATGGTTCTCAAGAGCATACTCGAAGGCACCAAGTTCAGTATGATAGCTCCAAATAACATAAGGGCACCTAAATAGAGAGAAATCTCAAAGTTGTTAAAAATTACCCCTCTCATTTCATAATGCCCTGTTCTCAGGCTCAGAATATTCATAGTGTTGCTAAATAGTCATAGCGAGATAATTCCTTGAGGTACTTTGTCTCCCGATTTTAACTGGAAGTAATGAAATCTGATGGCTTGTTACCATACACACTGCTGTACCCTTGGGAAACAGCGGCCTTTCGCAGATAGGGTACCAGAAAGCCGGCGTGGGAGGAGAGTTATTTGCGCTAAAGGAAAAGAGAGTAAGGGTTTTCCTGGAGGAGCCGGGGGAGCTATTTCAGATGCTAGAAAATTACGTGGTGTTTTGAAGAGGGACTTGAAATGTTCTGAAGTGGGTATAAA